GGCAATGGTGTCAGGGACTTACTTTCAGGTTTGTTTGACTCACATGTTACAGATCCATGGAGATCTTTTCTTCATAAAATTTCTTACTGCGTAAATATTTGGGTTAACATGATTCCTCTTGAACATGAATCATAAATTGGGGAAGTGATGCTCAATACCATGGAAATTGGGAGAAGATATTTTATCCATATACAGAAATTAATGCTGGTAGGCAAATTTCCCTCAGATATTAAATTTTCATGTGGTTAATGACTTCTTATGCAGTCCACTATCCGAAGCAAATGTTGATGGCCGTTGTGCGGAGTATGCAACCATCATTGCAGTGATAGCATATTGAAGTGGAGAGTTCTGTGCGCCCTGTGCCCCATATAACGGCGGTTGGCAATGCTGAGCCGTCAGCCCACGCCTTTGCTCTTTCCTTCCTCATCCATGCATGACTCGCTTGTGGTTTCTTGCGTTTCTTGTGTTCACCATCGTAGGTTTCAGGAGTTTCTCCCAACGGTTTTTGTTTGGCGTGGCGCAAGCCTCTAATCTAAATGCTCCCAGTGGTTCTCTTGGTTCCTCTTCAGTGTATGTTCCTGGGCCAGGGACATTGTGAAAAAGACTTGTTATCCTGCTGTATTTTTGTTGTGTTGTCGTCCTGAGTGCGTGTGCGATGATGCAACGGAATCCGTGTTTCAATTCGACTCTGGGAACGTGACTGAGCAAGTGATGGGGTTTCAGGGTTGGGGTTACTCCGATTATGTCGATGTCCGGTTTGCGGATAAAGAGAAGACTATCAGAAGTGATCTTGCTGGTGTACTTGAATGATGAAGCCCTTGTATACGGTTGGTTGAAAAAAATTTCCACCCCAGTAGAACTTCCTTAGTGGTGGTCAATTATTTCCCCTTATCCGTGCAAGTCGTACCAGGGACGTGAGATTTTTCCTGCGCTTTTCAAATAATGTTCCGATTCTGACGTCCAAGTTTAACCTGCTTATTCTTGCATATGAAGTACTGTACATGTGTTTTCGTAAAATAATTGAGTTTTGAAGATTGAATTCTTGGATAGGAGGAAGTCAGAAAGAATAAAAATCTTAACTGAGATGAGTTGACCTCGGTGAGCGATAAAGATAACCCAACGACGATGAGGAAATCGAATATTGAGGGTACTGGGATTGGTTCAAAGGTTTCTTTAGTTCCTTGATGACCGAATAAGTATACCTTATTCTGATTCCTGCAAGGCAATTGGAAATCAATGAAGAGACTGAAAGCTAAAGGCCTCGATCGTCATTTGGTATTAGAAATAATGAGTTCTTTTGGCTGCAGCTTTGACTTCTGCAAATTCAATCTCATCGAATGCCAACCTTCATATTATCAACAATTAATTATCAAGATATGACAGCTATTTTCCATTCAAGCAAACTATTGTGGTATACAGTATTAACATACATTGAGAAGCTTTTTTTTAATCATTCGAATGTTTAATGCGGTTAGATTTTTCCGGTAAGCGGAAATTGGAACAGTTTTCAAAAATTTAAAATTAATATCAGTAAAAATCCCGTCCATGTCCGAAAAGGGCAGTACACATCAGAAGCTGAAGTAAAAATTTTTGATCCTGAATACTGTAGAATATTAAATTCTCCGACAATTGAGAGCTTCGGCTTAATTTCGAAGTTGGCCTTACATCAAGTGACGTCAAGAAACCAGGATATAAGATACCAAATAGGTCATAACTTTAAGGAAACCGGGGGAGATGCGAATGTAAGTCATGCGTGGAATCTCTACTAAATATCGCCTGCTGTCACCTGGCAACAGACTGGCATTATGTGGAACAGAAGTGAGACATTCTCGAGTGGAAACGTGTTATTCCTGAGTTGTAAGTCGTGAAGTTCACGATGACGGGTTGGTTGGATCCGTGACCCTAATTCGTGATCTCAACTCAACCAGTCCAGTGTCCTTTTTCAGTATTTTTTAAAGTCAACGTTTGAAGTATGAGAACAATTTTCCACGTTTTGAAGTGGATTTTGTGATTTAAAAAATCTGTTTGTGTCGGGAGTCACTTGATTCGCTAAAACGAAGTAAGTCGCGCTCTTCATTACACGGACGTTTTGATAGTTGAGTTTTTGAAAGGATTTATCAACGAATAGTTGGAAAATTTTTTAAAATTCAGATGAAGTGTAATAATGCGTGATTTAACTAAAGGAAAAATCATTCTGATGCAGTTTACCTTTTCCGAAGTGATGGTACCTTTTTGAAAGTTAGTCGTGATATTGTTCGTCATGTTCCTTTTGAACTTCCGGGATTCACTGTTCATTAAATCAATTAAGTATGTTGCACATTTTCGCCCACGCTGAGCAAAATAATCGAATTTCTGGAAGAAATATCGTGAGATCGAGTGACAGTGCGTTTTCAATGCGTCAGTGAAATTCGATGTAGTGTGAATAAGTGCTTCTGAGAATTGATAGTGTCTTGTATTCGCGTTGTTGAAACGTTCCAGTCACTGACAATTATATCTTCCGCGTGGTTTCTTCTCAGATACGATGCAAACGTGGAATTAGAAAGAACATTGAAGAATTAATGCAGTGAGCAAGAACTTCGGGGGAGTGGAAGTGGCTCTCTTGACATTGTGTCGCGAGGAAGAATAGGAAACGTTCCGGGGATTTTCGGCTTTCTTCTCGCGTTTTTGAAATCCCCGTTTTTGGAATGAGCTGTGTGGGGACACACCCACTCATGATGCAGCAGCACGGCGGAGGTTTGCTGACCATTTCGCAGCAAAATGGCGGGATGCAGCCCCGAGCGCCACCTGGTGACCACAGGGAGTACCAGCATCAACTCCAGATTCGCCAGCAAATTCAGCAGCAACAACAACAGCAGCAACTTGCCAGACATCATGTCAGCGTTGCGTTTCCGCAGGTCAGTTTTTTTTTTCGTATGTCCTAATTTTAGTCTTTGGCTGTCTCTATATCAGTGATGTCGGATAGATGTCGTGTGAGTCAGTAGCTTGAGCAACGCGTCCTAACCAGAGTATCGTGTAATTTGTCGCGCGATTCAAGTGACATCTTTGTAACTTGAGAAGTGATGTTACGCCATTTCGTATGCTTACTTGAATTCATTCATAAATTTTTGTACGATGAGGGAATGTGCTTATGTTTTAAATGTAGCACTACGGTATTTTGCCTAATTGCAGTTATACTACATTTGGCGAAAATATTCGTGTTCTAAATTCGGCTCTATTTACTTTGCCGTCCGCCTCAACGTAAGATTCCTGGAAAATAATGCTAATTATTTGCGTATATGACTGGGAAACTCTTGATAGCGAATGCTTTTTGCAAATATTTCAAGATTTATCCAGTAGCATCTTTTCCCATGGGAGGCCGAAGATCCTCGTGACGTTTGAAAATTCAGTAAAATCTCCTTCGACATGAACAAAATTCGTTGGAACGGGATTCTAACTCATGCTTTATAGACGGCATTCCACCTGTGTATTAGAATCAAACACAGATAACTTTATATCTTTCTGATGAAATGTCTTCAATTGACACTTTTCGGCTTTAAGAAAAGTGTAAAGGTTTGAAATTCGAAGATTTTTGGGAGATTGATTCGAGTGCTTGGGATACCGAAATAAAACTTCCATGACTGGAGTAAATTCATACATTCTTGAACTAGAACGCGTGCTTGGTTGACATGATGAAGTTAGTGCAAAGTCTAGAATACGTGCATAATGACTTGCGAATTCTCAAGAGTTCAGCAAAAAGACGTGGAAACGCTGAAAACATTGAATTTTCATGGCAGTGGTACAGTGACATTTCTGATTTTTTTAGAAACTAAAAAAAAGCTGTAAAAAATCGAAAGAGGATCCCGGAGTCCATGCGTTATTAAATTTTAATACGATCGCACGGGACGAAATAAGGTAAAATTTAATTAGGAACAATCTTTATGAGAATTGCGAGTATGGGATATTTTTTTTCTTGTGTTCGGATTGTGAGGAGTATGAAAAGCTTCTTTCTCATTTTCCTCTGTGCAGGTACTACTGTGTAGTAGTGTTTGGAATAATCCCAAAGCTCTTGAGACGGATGATATCCCTGAAGTCTACTATACTCTATAGGAATAGTTGTTGTCCTTCTGTGTGTACCCGGAAATCCATCGGCTCTTTTGCTAAAACCCGGCGACTTGATGAGGTGTTTTAGCTTCCTATTCCTGGAGAGCTCATCTTGTCGAAACGCTTTCCTTCCTTGCGATTCGAATCAGGGTGCTGATTTTTTTTGGAGGGTGTGTAAAATGTACAGGGTGTACGTGACGGGTTTCAAGATTTTATCTTAGATTCAATATGAGCTTTCGCATTTCGAAAATAAATTAAAAGCAGTAGATCAAAGTTTGTGCAATTCCCATTTGAATGTTTTTCGGTCACTGGTTTGAACAGAAGGCGGAATTGAAAACAAAAAAATTGCTGTGGGATATTTTACGTGGGTTGAGGTGTTTTTGCGGATATTGTCCTATTTGTGCTCGAATTTTGTGAGCATTTAGTTAAAAAACTTTTTTCAGTGTTTTAATCATATTTCAGTTTTGTACTTTTGTCTTATAATTCTTCGTTTGGCAAGACTGTCCTAATTATGTTCAATCTTGATTCAACTTAAATGTAAAATCGTGTGGAATTTTGTGGTTGGGTCAGGAAATTGTGCGTAGTTGTATGTGTCAATTTAAGGGATGAATCGGTAAACTCTTTTACATAGAATGGTGAGGATATTTTCTGCTTTTACTAAATTTTTTCCCTGAGATAATCACCATTTTATTCACGCCTGCGGACATTTTTGCAGAGACTGAAAAATGCGCAAAAGGTGACAAATTTTTGCTGTCATAATTTGAGGATATTTTCCGTTTTTGAATTATTGGGATTTTTTGTTTTTCTGCCGTGAGCAATTTTTTCAGACCTCTTCCACGTTTTGAATATACAATATAGTACATTTATATGCAAATAAAAATGTATCACCTGGTTCCCACGATTTTTTAGTTGTAAACGTCACAGAAAACCCGTGAGTACGATTTTTTTTTCAGTGCAAGGAGTTTTCCCACGGGGCTTTTGGACTTCGTTGTAACGAGATTTCGCTGTGTATCAATTGATTGATTAAACTTCTATGCAAATTTTAAAAAGCACGTTTTTGTACATTCTGTGCGAATCCCTAATTTGAATAAAACCCCGTAGGGGTTTTAAGTGTAAAGGTAATCGGATCAAGGGAGATGAAGAAAGACTTGGAGATAATGAGAACCACGGGATCTGGATTAGGGACTTGTCAATTAGTGCCTGTCACGTGTCGGGAGTTGGGATCAATGAGAGGCGACGGTCACGTCTTCCTCCACTTTTCCGGTGATGAGCGAGCGTTTTTCTCTCGTAACTTCCTGGAGAAACCTTGACCGAACTTCTTACGAGTCCAATTTGGACGGTTTTCTTGATTTTTCCCCCCGCTGATTTGTATATGATATTATAATTGTCATTCCGAAGCATGATGGAGTAAAAGCGAAGAAATAATTAATTTATTGGGGGGTATGAACTGAGCTTCCTGAAATGATTGGTATTTTTTTTGTCTCTAGATTTTCTTACGTACACAGCTTCAAGATTCTTGAAAGTAGTTCAGTACAGTACATTAAAAAAAATCATGATCAATTCGTTATTAAATGTATTTATTGAAGCAGGAAAAATCTAGTACTGCCCATGCCTTTGGGGTCTCGGGTTCAGTTCGTGAACGACTCCTCAAAATATCCCAGTGAGCCATGAACCCGTCGGAATTGTGCATGAAAAAAAAAAGCTGCTTGAGTACATGAAAAGGCTTTTTATTCTTTGCGAACGTCAGGACTCGAGTCACGGAGTCCTGAGACTGGAATTCATGCAATTCGAACCCACTGAGAAAAATGGAATGAAATCAGGTCAACTCCCATCGAAACGCACATTTGGAGAAAACAAAATTTGCAATGGGGGAAAATACCGGAAGAGCGCAAAAAGATTTACGCATTCAAAAAAAATGGAAATGCTGTGTGTGTATTTTATATTCCATAAGAGTCGAACGAAATTCATTATTCCACTTTAATACAATTAAAAATTTGCGTCAAAATACTGTAATTAACACAGTTGATTAAAGGTCTAATCTCAATTAATAAAAATTTTCACATTCAATGAGCAAAGATGGAAAGGCAGATAAAAGTGAAACTCATTTTTAAAACCCGCGGTTATTTTCTACAATAAAGAACTCTTTTCTTTATCCTGGAAAACAAAATGAAGTAATCAATGATTAAAGAGCTCCGAAAAATAATCACTGTTAAACGAATTTTCTTCAGGTGCCTCGGAGTATTTCTCTCGAGTAAAATCTGTTTGGAAAAAATATGTATGAGTACGGTTGTTCAATTAAAATAAAAATTGAGAATGGATGAAGCAAAAAAAAACAAATTTGAGATCAATTGAATGTTTTCTTTTTCTACGCGCGCAAATGAAAAAGAGAATTCGCTTCGAAAATATTACTTTTTTTTTGTTCATCCTCCCAGTCACGTGTTTCTCACCCTTGTAAAAAATATTATACAATTCCTCTTTGTGTCAACCAGAAATTGCAACCCCAGAGTGTTTCTGAAAGGTAATGATGACGATGCAGGCGAGATTTACTTCTTTGTCGAATTTAGGATGTCTACTGAATTAATTCAAGATCAGGGGTGATAATCCTGTCGAAGAAAAACAAAATTTCTACGAATGACGTAAAGTTCTGGCAACTTACTAATTTCTAGGTTCTAGTATTGACGTTCATGCAAAATATTTTCATTTTCGATGAAAGCTTTAAATAAAATCATGCAAAAAATGAGGAATCAAAGGGGAAAAAATTCGAATTTTGCTGTCGAATTGCGAAAATTTCCTGGAATATCCCAGACCAAAAGCCTAACGTGACTCTTTCACAAATAATGCGATCAGGTTTCAATTTGTAGTTTTTAAAATGTTTCCGAATTTTATCCGTTTTATAGAACGCAGTAGAGATCGAAGTGCGACGCCAGCAGCAGCAACAGCAACAGCAGCACGGATCCCGTGGAATGATGCCGCCATCATCATCATCCTCCTCTTCTTCCTCCTCCTCATCGTCACCGCCGCCGTCGGCGCTGATGGACCAGCAGAAGGCGGCGTCGCCTGGCGAAAATCTCAACCCAGAAACGGTGGAACAACTGACGGCGGCCCAGTTGAAGCGTCGCGAGATTTTCAACCAACGGAAGCAGCGGGAATTTATCCCGGACAACCGGAAAGACGAGGGCTACTGGGACCGCCGTCGACGCAACAACGAGGCGGCGAAACGGTCGCGGGAAAAGAGGCGATTCAATGACATGATCCTGGAGCAGAGAGTTGTGGAGTTGACGCGGGAATTGCACGTGCTCAAGGCCCAATTGGCTGCCGTGAGGGACAAATATAGGTCAGTTTCTTGAATACAATTCATTAAATTGATAAATGCATTAATTTAATGGCCACACCACGATTTTTAGGCACCCTGAATAAAAATAAATAAAAATCATTCCCCTACCTTAATCAATAATTTATTTATATTTAAATGTCAGTTTCTTGAATAAAATTAATTAAATGAATAAATGCATAAAATTAATGGCCACACCACGATTTTTAGGCACCCTAATTTTTTAAAAAGAAAAATCATTCCCCTACTTTTATCAATAATTTATCTATACTGTATTTAACTTTCAGTTCTTTGATTACAATTAATTAAATTAATAAATGCATAAATTTAATGGCCACACCATGATTTTTGGCACTCTAATTAAAAATAATAATTCCCTTACCTTAATCCATGATTTATTTATTTATTTTAAAATTTCAGTTTCTTGAATGCAATTGATTAAATCAATGGATACACCATGCTTTTTAAGCACCCTAAATTTTATAGAGAAAAGTTATTCCCAACCATGATCAATAATTTATTTATACTGTACTGTATTTAATTGTCAGTTTCTTGAAGACAATTAATTGAATCAATAAATGTCTAAATTTTATGGCCACACCCTGATTTTTGGGCACCCTATTTAAAACAAAAAATCGATCTTCTACTTCAAACCATGATTTATTTATTTCCCTAGGATCAACGTGGACGCGTTGGTGGATAAGGACGCCGTGTTGGCCTCGTTGCCGACACCAGATCAAGTGCTGGCCATGACGAAGAGGACTACGAAAGTATTGGCGGCAGCGGCGTCCTCGTCGCCGTCGTCGATGAGCATGTCCGGATCGCCGTCGTCGAGGGCGACGACGCCGACGGGAAGAATCACACCACCGAATGTGGGCAGGAGTCCAATGCAACCTTTCCAGGTAAAAAAAATCAAGAAATCTACTGATGCCGTAAAATGGTCATTTTCCAGACGCATGATAAATTTACTGCAGCTTATCTTTTTAAGAGAAGAAGATGAAAAGAAAACAATTGTTTCCGCATTATTATTTAAAAATTTGTTGATGGAATTTCTTTTTTTTTTCATTACTTCATTGCTCTGGAACGTTTAGTCACAAGGATGAAAATTTCAATTGATTGTTAAAAAGTCTTGTTCTTGAATTTTGAAATATTTTTTTTTTCGTAGACGAAGCTGGTGAACGCAGGACGGCGCCGATCGTCAGCCAGCGAGGACCACTTCCCGTCGTCGCGACAGCCGCATCAGGCGTTCCCGTCGCCGCCGCCGCCACCAATGCCGCCGCAGCAGCAGCAGCAACAACAACAACGGGCGCCAGCTGCTCTCACTCCCGTGGAGCCGCCAATCACGCTCGTCATCCCTGACGTGCCCAGACCGAGTCCCAACGACGCCCAACCGCCGTCTTTCCCGGGCCAACAGCACCAGCACCACCACCACAATCTTCCGCCGTTCCAGCAACACCATCACCAGCACCCACACGCCCACAGGGCTATGCTAATGCTCCCCCAACAGCAGCAGCAGCAGAATCACCAGGATGGTAGTGATGGGGATGAGCACGTTTTCAACGCCTATCACTTGCAGCAACAGCAGCAGAGGAATGGACGGTTCAGCAGTGCATTCAATGGGTGAGTTCTTCTTACACTTGAAAATACAGTACTTTAATAATCAGTGTAAAGTTGTTGATTACCCCGAGGTCTGATTCTCTCTTCATCTATCGCGTTTATTTAAAAAAAAAAAAGGAGAAGAAGAAGAAAAAGCGAAATTAGTTGTGAATTGTTCGAATGGCAGCAATAATCCTAATTTATTCAATGGTTATTTAAAATGAAACTGAAAACGGAACAACATTCAAAAGTTCATGAATTAACAATTTCCTCGAGAGCATATTTAGCATTCATAGTTTAAAAAATGCTGCAGTTCAAAAGGAATTTTCTCTCCACATTTTCCGAACGACATTCTTCTGAAATAATGCTATGGATATAATTTTCCAGAGAATATTCTGAAGCATTTGTTCACACAGTATGACTATTTATTTTATTTTATTATTATTCATTTAAGAAATTTTTAAAATTAGAAATAAATTTCATCTTGGAAACATTGGTTTTGAAAAATAATCAAAATTTTCCGAAACAAATTTTGATGAGCAAAATTTTATTCCAAAATCGTACAGTATTATATTTTGGAATCATTGTATGAATATCTTTCTCGATGATCGTAGAGTATGGAATTTATTTTCGTTTCTTCTTTCAATTGCAGAGAAAAGCGAATAAAGATTGAAGTCCCGGAAGGCGGCATGAATCACGTGAATGGCGCTTCAGACGAAGACAAAATTGCAGAAGTTGAGGAACAAATCGGCTCCATTCCGACCCAGAGGATCGGAGAAAAGCGCCGCATGCATCACAACAACAACAACACCCACCACCAGCAACACCATCAAATCAGCCTCTCAATCCACCAGCAACAACAAAAGGAAGGTTTCCAGTTCCTTCAACACCCCGCAGATGCCCTGAAACTCGCCATGCGTCGCAACACGCTCACAGAAGACGAAGACGAAGGCGTGGATCTCGGCTTGTCTCGCAGCGAGCAGTTGCATCATTACATGCCGTCACGACAACAGCGACAGCAAGAACACGACGACGACGATGAAGAATTGGACGAGGATCATGTCATGATGCGACACGGCGGTGAGGAAGACGAAGACGAAGGTGCACTGAATTTGTCGACCACGTCGCCAGGTGTCGCGCCAACGACACCGGTTCCCCAGCAGCAACAGCAAGTCATGTTTCGGGGTGCTGGAGTGCACAAGCAGTTGGCGTCTGTAGAAGCTTCTGGTGGACAGTTTGGACAGCAGCAGCATTTTTTCGCTGCCCCGCAGGAACAGGCGAGATATCATGCTGAGCAGCACCTGAGGAATGGTGGTGGACGAGAAGAACATGCTTCTCACTCGAATGGTGAGATGATTTTCCTGAAAAATTGAGCCCACAAACTGGGGATTCGCATCATGCATTTTTCAGATATTATTTCTAATTTTGTTTCAAAATTTAATCGTAAAATAATTCTGATATTGTTCGACTGGAAATTTTGTAAATTTGTCACGCGCTTTATACTTTAAAAGTTTAAACACATCAAGTGACGGTTAGAAAAATTATTTTTTAGAGACTAAGAAGGGTGAAAATATATATACTGTACAGTACTGCAGTACGTATACAGTAAGTGTGAAACTCGAGTATCCTGACATTTGTGCTCTGATCTGTCTTTTTTTTCACAAATTTCAAAGGTCGTAAGGAGGAAGAAATGTACCTTTTTTATTTTCCTCATTTCACAAATTGTACTCAAAAACTTATTGGACTTTTGAAAATTTTTCGGCTAAAAAATTTCGTTGTGTGATTTGTTTTCCCCATTGGAAATTTATTTTTCCGAATTTTCCGTTGTAGGGGTCTTTCGTCATGTGGCGACTCACTTTAAATCGATTTTTGTATCACAGGAAAATTAGTTGCCCTTGTGTCACCCAGTTGAAAAGTGCTCATCTTTTAATAAATGTGTGCGATCTCGAGAGATTGTAATACAGGAGGAATACATTACTTATTCTCTCTCCTCTATATAGGATCAGCAGAAAATTGCCCCAATTCCGCCAACGGGCCCAACAATTCGGGGGCATCCCATCACCCGAAACTGCGGCTGAAACCCCGCTACTCATCCGCCTCCATGATGATGGACGACCTGGACCA